CATTTTCATTTATGATTGATTTCATCACAATTCTTCTAAGGTTGGAGAGTAATTATACATTCTTATTGCTCAATGTAGAGTCCAATAGTGTTATAAAAACATCAGAAAATTCAAGATACAGTGATACAATGGTTCAAAGTTTAATCTAACCATTGGACAATTTTGCTGTTACACTTGGTGTGTGTGTGTTTTAGAGAGAAATAGTGTAGACATAGAAGTCACTATGCAGAGTTGATTTTGATGTCCACACTTTTTATAAATGCCCTATCTCAGGTGCTGAAAAACCCTTTCTCTGTAAATATGGCATATTTTGAATGTATACATGCACCATGTAATAGATTCCACAGATACTCAGATCTAAGACAGACGTACTAATCCATGCATAAATAGTCCTCTCCATTTTTGATTTGTACTAGCCTAGTGGTTATTATTTTATTATGAATTTTACTCTCTCTTATTAGTGTGGCTTTTTATTGTGACATTCCTGGTGGGTATAGTCTTTGATTGCTATATCAAATGGCACAAAATTAGAAATAAAGCAATAACTTCTGACAGGACCATAACACACATTCTATGAATACTTTTTTGAATTCTACAGTGCTTCTTTAATTATCCAGACACCTTGGGAGAAATATTGAAAAAATTTATTCAGCTAATTCAAAATTCCAGACAATTGAATACTTAGGTTTATCAAAAAAGAATGAATAAAAAAAATCATTTTCTGAAAGAAATTTATCATTTATATCATCTAATAACATTTTCAAATATTTTGATCTATGTTTTGTTCAGTTTATTTTTTATTGAAAAATGTGTCAGTTTTTGTTTGTTTCTGGCTGATCTCACATTTTTCTGCTTCTAGCTCCCAAAGTGTAATTAAAGTAAATGTATTTGTAAAGGCCAGTATCTGGTTGAGTGCATAACCAACTTACACATTTGTTATTATTTCAATGTTTTAAACTGGGCATTGGGGCTGTTGAATCTCAATATGTCCCATATCATTATCATCTCCCTTCTCTTCAATATTCTCCAAGGAAATTAAGAATTAATTGAACTGATTTTATCAGCATTTTTATCAAATGTTGAGTATGATTTTCTAAATTCCTGCAACACTTGTCTGAGATGAAATATTAGAATGGATTTAGTTTGGATAATTGAAAAATGTTCCAAGGAATTCAATTTTTCTATTTAGTTCATGTCCACAAAAGCAAGGTCCAGGTAATCGAGGAAGAAGTATATTTTATGCATGTTTATGCCAGATGCTATTTGTTAGCAAGGTGAACTATGGTATTTTGGTATGAGAATTCAACCTCTATTGTCATACTACAAATATTGGCTTTTGATGTGACCATTGTGTGTGTTATATGGCGTACCAAGTAGTTGAAAACAAATTACAAAGAAAAAATTAGCATGTTATCAAAAAAAAGAAAAAATTTAGACATGTTCAATTTATAGAAACAGGAAAAGATAAATAAAACTATCCTTGGCTTCAACATGACCTTGGACATGACTGCATGCCCTGACCAGATGTTTCTTGATGGTGGCCTTCAGGAATTCATTGATATTGTGGGTCTGTTGGTTATTTCCTTCTCTATGACACCCCAGACATAATAGTCCAGGGGTTCAAATCAGTGAAGCTTGGGAGATACGTGTTGGGAGTAACATGATTGTGAGCCTTCTTAGTCAGCCACTTCTCGGCCTTATGGAACAAGTGAGTGAGAGCAAATTCCTGCTAGAACAGAGATGGCTGCCCACTACCACTGGTTTTAGTGTATATAGTCACATTGACTCTGTGGGGAAAAAAGTTGGGTGGTATTGCTCGCCATCCCTAGGACTATCTAGGATGATGTGATATTGGTGTGCATCTCTGTGAAGTCTGCACAGAACTACCTGTCATTCTGCCTGTTCACCTGAATACTTTCAAGAAGCTTGCTACCTCCATTTGGTTCTGTCACAAGCACAGTGTGCCTTTTCATTTTCTATATTAGATTGGAATATGTCATGTTATATATAATTGGAATATATATTTTTGATGCTAGATGGTGTTTTAACTACTTCAAATTTGATGTCTGACACAATAGGGTTGTCAGGGATGTTATAAAATCCTCAAAACTGAGTTGGAATTGATATAGGCCTTCTACTATCTGTGATATTTTTACACTCATGCACTTTAATTTCTCAGTCATCTATATTTGGCATCAGTCATTTTTTTGGGGCACAAGAGTAATTACTTGAGAGAATTTTTAAAAAAATGTCATCTCTAAGTTGCTTTGCAAAATTAATAATTGATCTTTTTTTTTTTAAATTCTCATTAAAGTCTAGACAATTATAAAGGGATCTGCAACTATGACCCACACTGATTTTTATGCTTATTTTCCTCCTTTCAACTTAATACTGTCAACCTTGTCATGACATCTTGGCAGTTTCTAATTTGGTGCAGATATTATTATCTTTTTCCTAGCTAAAGCTTTTAATGGTAGCTCTGCAAACTACATTCAAAGAAAGACTGGTTATGCTGCCTGAAAGTAAAAAGTGATGTTACTGTCTGCTGCACCTATTAATTCTAGTAGTTGTAAAAAGCAAATTTGGAGAAAAAGTTAAATTGTTTGAGATGGGATACCATTTAGTGTGAGCTACACAGAAAAAAATTTATAACAAATAATATGAAAGAAATGTACAAATGTGGTTGATATACAAAATGTCCATACCTGAAGTGTACAATTTTATGGATCTTTTTTTTCAAGATGATGAAATCTGTCCTGGTTGATATGGCTGCTTTTTTTAGAGATGTTAAACACATCTTTCTACACAGATGAACCGATGAAAAAAGTCTGAACTTTGTGACGAATTTCCAAAGAGAGAAAAAAGAAGAAAGGATCTTGCTGCCCCTTTTGCAATTCTGATTTTTTCCACAGTAGCCTACATAATGTCTATTTTGGTCATTGAAATAAGCGTGACATGCAGATTTTAATTTACCACTAAAATCTAAAATATCACCCTGAGAAGAGGAACATATTGTATATCCGTACCTGATATATGTTTTATAATGCTCAGGCAAAGTAACTTTTCTTCCACTTTTTGTAATGCATAGTATAGGATCTCTTCCTAGTTTATTTTCTGAATCATCAGCTGACTGTTGAGTTGTATGTTTCGAATTGTCCAGTGTCTGTTCAGTTCTAATGGACATCTTACTCATCATAGAATGTGTAGTGTCAATAAAAACTGGTTTGAGCCTCTCAATGGCTAGAGTCCAACTGTTATACAGGATAACAAAGGATTTATCAACCTTATGTACTTTGAAAGGGGCTGCATAACTTAGTGTAAGCGGTCTCTTAACTGTGTCGTTCTGAACAAATTAAGGTGTGTATCCAAGATGTTCCTTAATTGTACACCTAATTGACAACAGTGTCAATAGCAAATTATCAGTCAAGGCAGTTTGGTTTTTATACATTGACAATGCTGTTTTCAACTGTCTATGAAAGCACCTAATCATACTGTTTGCACTCAGTGTTTCACTCTTAGTAGATTTGTGAATTTCCAGAAGAGGGCTGATTGGAATTGTGTCCCTTTATCTGTTGTGATGTATGTGGGAACTCTGAAGTGTGATATTCAGTTGTTTAATATAGTTCTGGTGATTGTTTCTATTGACGTATCTTGAATGGGTATGACTGACTATCAGTTGAAATAATCAACTAATGTTAAGATGTAGTTTTAGCTTTTATGAGGCAATAAAGGACCAACTACATCAATATGAATATTGCTGCAATCTTGTCATGACATCTTGTCAGTTTCTAGTTCTGCTAAATATAGATTCATAAATACCAAAATATGTAAATAATGAGCTAAATCAATTATTAATTATTCTGTTTCATCTTCACGTCCAACAACCACTGTCTGTAATTGTTCTTAATATTTACTTTTTTCTCCTTTTGATCTTTTTGCAACTCAATGTTGTCTCACATGAACAAAAAAAATGATATAATTGTTATTGTGTTACTATGACATGTGTATGCAGTGTCATGGTTAGTAGCTCAGGATGAGAAATGGGCAAGCTAAGTTCAAATTTCAATCAAGTTCGTTGCATTCACTTTTGCACAATACCCTTGGGAAAGGTATGATTCCATCTCTTCTACCCCAGCTATGTATTAAATAAAAAAAAGTATACTGATCTCTCTAATGGTAGCAACAAGTCCAGTAGAAAGACTGAATACAAAACTGTATGTAGCCCTGATAAAGCACAGCCATGGAAAAGATTATGGAGTTGACAATAAACTAGCACATAGTTGTGGATGCTTATTCTAAGAAAAAAAGAAGCTCCTAAGAACAAATGAAAGCTGATCAGGAGAGCTCATTAGGAAAGCTCATTAGAAGAATTACCATGAAAATATTTTTAGAAAATGCACAGGGAAGCTTCATTATAGTGGTGTGAAAGTAACTGAACCCAAAATGTCATGACCAATAACATTGCATATTCTTCTTTGGATTATATCAAGAATCTCTAAATACATAGCAGAAGCACCAGATAAGATTTGACAGACAGCAATATTCAATGGACGAACAGTAGACTTATAAATGTGTAAGAATAGCATTTGGTGAGAAAAATTGTCTAGGATGACACAGCGAACCAATCTTCCAAGCAGTATACCTAGCTATTGATTCAATATAATCTTTCCACTTTATTTACTAATTTTTTAGTAGCTTTGTAACTTGATTTTAAGCCACCCCATGATATAAGCTAAAAGAAATTACTTGGTTCACTTTAAACTGTTCATTAATATTGCATTATACTAAGTTAGTGTTTCCTGGCAAAAAACCTTTTCACTAATAAAAGTTGAAATTATGAATAGAGATCATTCTTTGAACTGCAATGGAGAACAATTGGTCACAGATGATAAGCGAATCTAAGTGAAATAAAAAAAATAAATTGTTAATCTGAGATTTTATTTTATTTTTTTCATTTCTCTTTGTTTTTTGTCTGCAATGAAATCCACTGAGATTAGAAATCAGTTTCCTTTCTGCAATATAACTTCACCATGGACAATCACATAGCGGATCAAATCATTATGGCAGCCCATTTGGTAGATCAAATGTTCCCACCTGAAAGGAAGTAAAAACAAAAAAATTAAATTAATACATATTACAATTATTTTGCACCATTGTGTCAGTTAACACCAATAACTAAATTCTCCTTAAAATGTTTAAATATTCTATGATAAAAACAATTTCCACTTATAATTTTCAATTTGGGAGATGGTGTTTCTTTCTAACAAATATAAATCAAGTTCCATGCTCTTGAAAATTTGTAGGAAATTAATTACAAATGAATTTGGCTAGGAGTGCCAGTGTTGAAGTATATAAAACTTCTTAACGGAGGAGGCACTCTCAGTAGTCAGAGATAGATTAACCTCTGACTCTTCCCTAGAGGAGCGGACCAGTATTCCAATAGATAATCTGATGGAGATGTTGACTTTCTGTACACAAACAACACACTTCGGAATGGGATCTCACATATATCGACAGGATGAGGGCTTAGCAATGGGCTCGCCATTATCACCAGCAATGGCGAATATATACATGGAATACTTTGAAGAAATGGCATTAGAGTCTATATCGCTAAAGCCAACTATATGGTTACGGTACGTAGATGACACTTTCATACCTGGCCACATCAGGAAGAAGTCCAGGTTCTTCTGGACCATGTGAACTCAATAAGACCTTCGATACAGTTCACAATGGAGAAAGAGAGTAACAACTCACTCCCATTCCTGGATGTACTAATATCTCGAACAGAGAATGGGTTCAAGACATCCGTATACCGTAAACCAACATTCACCGGACAGTACCTCAATTTCAACTCCCACCATCCATACAGCGTAAAGAAAGGGATCGTCCGATGCTTACAACATCGAGCAAAAAAGTCATAAGTGGCGATCCAGAGACGTTAGATAAAGAATTGGTCAGTATAAGTAGTACCCTACAACGTAACAACTACCCTGGGTACATGGCAGCAGCCCCCAAAAACTGGGATAGGCGGGTACAAGAGGAGGAGGAGGAGGAGGACAACAACACTCAGAAAACAGTCTGCCTGCCTTATGTGAAGGGGTTATCAGAGAAAATACAAAGGATCTGCGGTCCATATAACATCAGGACAACCTTCAAAAGCTTGACGACACTTCGCAGATATCTCTCACGAGTGAGACCCCCCCATAGAGAGAGAACATGACTAAAGACTGTGTATACGCTATCCCATGCAGCTGCGGAAAGGAATATAAAGGAGAGACAGGCCGCCCCCTCAAGGTAAGGCTTCAAGAACACCAGAAAGCTGTAACACGAGGGGAAGTAGAAAAAAATCAGGCGTGGCTGACCACATATGGAGAGAGAAGGAGATCACCGCCCTCCTGTGGGATCATGTTGAGATCATAGACAAAGAACACCATTGGAAAATTCGTAAACTTAAGGAATCAGCACATATGCTAGGCCACAAAAATCTCCTGAGCCGACCAAGCATAGAAATAAATACAATATGGGAACCAGTAATAAGGAGTGCCAGAGAAAAGCAATGATAACAACTAAGTTGCAATATGAGCTCTGGTAAAAACATGAAACGATAACAGCAAAAATTGCAATATGAGCACTGGTAAAAATGATGCTGAAAACATTAGGTTTATAATACTCAGAAATTCATACCCAGATGTCCTCAAGGACACATGGCACAGTGGATAAAGGCGTTGGTTAGATCCAGTGACAGGACCCAAAGAAGGTGAGTTCAATTCCTGGTTAAGGCAGTGGAGAACTTTCAGAGGAAAAATAACAGGAGATAACTGATAACTGACATCCATCAAACATGGCACGTGGAATTAGAACAGTCTACCCCAGTGAGCGAAATAAAGGGTTCAGTTCGACATTCCAACCACCTGAAGCCGAAAACGTTGTGAAACGTTGTTAAAAATATGGCGACAAAGATGAGGACAATAGTCCGAATAATGTAAATAAAAAATACATAATACCTCATCTCAGAAATATAGACAAACTATAAAACTTCTTGTTTGTAACAAAAACTCTTCAAAAATAGATATTTCATTTTATGAGCTCAGTAGTATATTAGAGAAAGAAACATTAATGATTTGTTATATGGTTATAAAAGTATTAGTGTTAGAATTTTTGTAGTCTTTTTTTTAAGCGTTCTGTATAGAAATAGTGATAGAAACAAAATAAATTAATTCCATTCTAAAATTGGTCATTTGAAAATCTACAAAATGGTATAATGAAGTGGGTGTGTTGATAAAATGATAACACATGTGGAGTATAAAAATTTATTTTTATATTTTAAAAATGTTAGCATTGAATAAATATTTAATCATCTAGGTTCTTTTTTTAATACATGTTCTTTGGAGAGAAGCGTATTTTTATGAAGATCAGATGGTATGTGTAAAAAAATTGTTACATTTGTATATCTTTTTTGGCTCAGCAGTTAAAACCCACCAAAATTTGTGAAGGCTCCATTTCCAGTTTGATGAAACCTATTTTTTGATATATACTGACCAATTAGAGATGTTGTCTCAAGCTCTAGTAATACCCTGAATTGGGGGAGGGTTTGGGCTTGTGAGCCCTATTTTCCAAATATATAAAACTCAGGTCAGTAGATGTGGAGAGAAGATATTTTGACAGGAAGAGGACAAGGGAATTCAATATCAAGGAGCAGAAGTCATTTGATGTCAAGAAGGCACAAGGTTACCAGCCAGCTGCAGAGAGACTAAAGAATTTTGAAGTTAAGTGAAAATTCTCCTATGGTTGGACAACAAAGAACAAAAAAGAATTTAAAGAAATTTTTCCAAGCATAGTGTGATTTTAAAAGAGACATTTAAAAAATTACTATATGTCCCAGAGATGCTCATAGGGCAAGTAAAAGTAGGTGTTTTCGTTTTATCAGAAAGGTGGTTGCACCTTTGTTTTTCTTGAATTGTTTTCTCTTTTTGTTTTTTTTTCAAAATCCCTGTCTTTTCTCAAACTGTAATTATTTTCGTTTTTCGATGAAAATATTTTTATGAGAGATTGTTATCCTGTCTTAATAGGTGCACATAAGTAAATTTTTGTGCAAATTTTGTATTTGTACCTTTTTCGTAATTGTGTAATAAATGTTTTTCCTTTAAAATTTTACACACTGAGTCTTTTTTGTAATTTAGCATCTATTACAACTTGCTATTCCTTCTAAGTTTTTGTCTTTGGCACAAGAACTTAGATTTGGTAGGAAATAAAATTTTTATAGGACTAATTAATAACAGGAGACTTGAATCTTTCATATTTAACATTGTAATTTCTAAGGAATTAATGGATTTTTTCTTATTCCTCTATTTTATTTACATTATTTTATTTACATTATTTACACATGGACTATTGTTCTCATCTTTGCTGTTATTATCACAATGTTCTAGATGTTGTGCTCTCTGGCACTCATCATGTACTTGTTGATAGGGTAATCTTCAAGAATTTCAATTTTGAATTTTTTATTTAATCTATGGGATTTTTCTTGTTCTGCTGCCCATGTCTAAGGATATTACATGTAGTTCTTATTTCACAGAATGAGAACAATCTATCTCTGTAAATTAAATAAAGGGTTCAATTCAAAATTTCTTGAAGGTTACCCAGATATAATCACCTGATGAATACCAAAGTGCACAAAGACTGAAATGTTGTGATAACAGCAAAAATGGAGAAAATAGTCCACATGTAAATAATGAAAACATCTCATCCCAGAAATTCAGGCAGAAATACTCTACTTTAACATTCTTATTTCTCTATTATATTCTATATTCTATATTCTATATTCTATATATTAATTATATATATTTTTGCAATAGTGGAATCTGTATTAATCTATGGAGCAGAGATGTGGACTATGACCAAATATTTGAAGAAACAGGTAGCTAGATGAGTGTTCTGCAAGAATGCTCACAATGACACTTAATGTGTCCTGGAGAAGTTACACATCAAATGTTGAACTTTATAATGACCTATCAAAGATAACATCAAAAGTTCAGCAAAGAAGAATGTGTCTAGCAAGACACTGTATCAGGCATCATAATGAAGTTGCCAGCAAATTAGTTCTCTGGGAGCCAACCGAAGGAAGAACAAAACTCACATTTATAGAGGCACTGCTCAAGGACTTGGGGATGGAGGCAGCAAAAGAGATAAAGACCTTCATGGTCGACCGTGCTGAATGGAAGAAGTGTATGGATACTATGGGTCATCCTGATGGATGATCTATTTATATATATATATATATATATATATATATATATATATATATATATATATATAGTTTATGGGATAATTTTTTTATAATCAATTTTTTTTCATTATGGGTAGTAAGGTGTATAAAGAAAATCTTAAATAAATAAATACAGTAAACAGTTCTATTTAATTTATTGGATACTACAAAGTGCCCTACAAAAAACAGGAAATTTGGTACAGTTTATTTACTTGTTAGAATTTTTGTTACAGTTACTTGAAACAAAAGCAAAGGATAGAAATTTAGAAGCTTAAAACAGAACAAAAACTCCAGATGTTAGATGTGGTGTTCAAACTAAAGAACACTGGCAACATTTCTTGGCATTTTTTCAGTCCCCAAGTTGGATGTTCTTTTTTAAGGAGAACAATCACTTTATGCTGAAAATTTGATCACTCTAGCATCCTGGAACAATAAATGGTTAAAGAATTTATATATTATTTAATTATTTTAGTTCATTTGTATAGTAAAATATATAGTTAATTTTTTTCATCATATAGTAAATCTAAAATTTCCTGTTTTTTTTTTGTAAATTCAAGTGGTCTTTATAAATACTTATTAAGGATTATATAATATTCAAAATAATAGTTGATTTGATGTAACCAAAAGTTAAAAGTTTATATTATTCAAACTAATTATTATATAATATTCAAAATAATAGTTGATTTGATGTAACCAAAAAATTAAAAGTTTATATTATTCAAAATTAATTATTATATAATATTCAAAAATAATAGTTTTTGATGTGTAACCAAAAGTTAAAAGTTTATATTATTCAAACTAATTATTATATAATATTCAAAATAATAGTTGATTTGATGTAACCAAAAGTTAAAAGTTTATATTATTCAAACTAATTATTATATAATATTCAAAATAATAGTTGATTTGATGTAACCAAAAGTTAAAAGTTTATATTATTCAAACTAATTATTATATAATATTCAAAATAATAGTTGATTTGATGTAACCAAAAGTTAAAAGTTTATATTATTCAAACTAATTATTATATAATATTCAAAATAATAGTTGATTTGATGTAACCAAAAGTTAAAAGTTTATATTATTCAAACTAATTATTATATAATATTCAAAATAATAGTTGATTTGATGTAACCAAAAAATTAAAAAGTTTATATTATTCAAACTAATTATTATATAATATTCAAAATAATAGTTGATTTGATGCAACCAAAAGTTAAAAGTTTATATTATTCAAACTAATTATTATATAATATTCAAAATAATAGTTGATTTGATGTAACCAAAAGTTAAAAGTTTATATTATTAGGTAAAAATAATTTTATTTATCTACTTTATTTATTTATGTATATATTTAATTGTATTATTTTATTTATTTATCTTATTTTTATTTATTTATATAATTATTTATTATATACAAATAACGATCAATAAACTGGATGAAGACAAAATATTAAACCTCTCATCTTGCAGTTCAACCCCTAAATACTATTTGTGAATGCAGTTTTGTTGAGATCATATTAAAAAGTGAGGAAAAAAATGGACAAAATTCTTGTTCATATACTTACCTCGGTGCCTCAATCAGGACCATGTTTGCCACTTTCCCTGGAGAAAGGGAACCATGTGTGTCAGATTTTCCAAGGGCCTTAGCAGCATTCAGAGTAGAAGCCACAAGAGCTTGGGGTAGACTCATATGCAAATTTACACAGGCTAAATGCATCACTAAAGGCTGAAAAGGAATATTAAAATCATATTTGATTTTAATCTTCTGACATGAATAGTGTGATGCATTTAAATCCAAAAATACCAAAGAATCTTTTTCATCATACAGGACTACTGTTTACAATCTTAACCTTTTCAAGTCTAGGGTAAATCATTATCCATCCTCCTTATCCTCATAATCTTCATTTTCTACCACCACCTCTTTCATTCATATCACACATCTCATTCATCATATCTATTCTAATAGTAATTATGAGCCTTGTATTGAGTAAATTTATATATAAAGAAAAATACTTGTCTGCATGGTGAAATCAATATTGTTTGCACAATTTCCAGTGAATTACTATCCCTTCTCAGTCATATTAATTTTTGTACTCTTCAGTTAATTTGCTATATTCATTTATTATAATAAAGAAAATAATTTTTATATTTTTAAATTGAAAAAAGATGTACGTTATGATTTTAATAAATATAAGAAAAATGAAAAATAACCATGGTATTCTATACATTTCTGATATAAAACTCACATCTTTTACTCTCTTTATTAATTGCAAAATATAAATAATTTGAGGCATAAATAGTAACTATCTTATTTTAACTATTTCTACAAAAAAAAGCAATGAATTATATACCAATCCCATAAATTTAAACTTTGAATTGATTTCTCTTGACCCTTTTTCTTAAATAACAACAGGCTGAATGTAGTAAATTCAACAAAATTGTATAATGTTCATACCATTGACATACAGTATGCATTAGGGTTGAAGTCAGACCCTAAAGCCACTGCCATTCCAATTTCTATCATTCTCTGTACATTAGGTGGCTTCAGTCTTAAAATATAAGCTGTAGTTGGTAGAATAACACCAACTGATCCACTTTTACTCATTGCCTCCATTCCAGCTTCGGAAATTTCCTCCAAGTGACTCATGGCCAGTGCTCCAAGCTCAGCACCCATCTAAAATAAACACAATTTAAAAATTATTAATCCAATACAGCAGACAATTTGAATTAAAATTAATTCTTATAAAAATACTTGTAAGTAAATAATCAACAGCTACAAAATTTTGGTTGATTTGACTATCATTTTGTATTCTTTTATAGCAACTTTTGAAAAATTTGACTGTAATAAAATAAGTATAACAATCTAAATATCTGAGAAATGTTTTAAGAGAGGATGGAAAGTGTGACATTGAAATCTGAAGTTTCATTGGGATAGTTAAAGTAACTTGCCAAAAACCATTAAGTATTAAGAAACTGGAAAATTTCATTAGAAACAAAAGACTACTGAACTATTATGTAATATCAGTACTTCTATATGGCAGTGAATGCTGGGTAATCTCCTCACAGATGAAGTATGGACTTGAAGCAACAGAGAAGTGATTCTAGTTGAAATTTCTCAGGCATATATGAGGAAAGAGGGCTTGGAAAATGTGATATCCACAGGACTGATTGAAGGCAAGAGGGACAGAGACAAACAACACATAAGCTATCTAGCGAGCTTGCATAAATGGATGACAGAACAGAGTTTAGGAGAAAAGACAAAAAGACAACTTTTATTAAGAGCTATGAAGGACAGGAATTTGTGGAGGGACATGGCACATTGATTTTGGGTATTTCTTCTCTTTTAATTCAGATATTTTCATAGTTTGGGCACTTTGGCATGGTGTAATGGTTAACAAGCTTGTCTCACTAGATCAATTACTACTGAATGCTCAATACTTTTGGCTTTGTGCCACATCTAAGCTATGTTTAGTAAATCTATATTTTAATAGTCATTCTCATAATGCCTGTTTTGAAATTAATTACTGCTTTTAATAAATCTTTTTAAAACAAAGTCTGGTGGGAATATTTTATTTGAAAATATAGAAATATTTTCATTCTTATTTATTTATTTTTAGTAGTTTCAACATATTGTGTTTTATTATTATTATCATAACAATATTTAATAAAAGAAGCAAGAACTTTAGTCTGTTGGCAGGGCCTAGAATATGCCAATTGCAGCTCCCACAGAGGGGTAGATATTTACTCAACCCCCTCACGAGGTCAGGTTGTGACATAAGGTAAGTTTAATGTGGGGAGCCCGAGTGCATGCACCCGGGCAAGGAACAAAAATTCCCCGAGCCCCCGCAACCATTGGTTGCACTGGCCTCGGTGCGTGCACCAATCCTTCTCTCTAGTGCAAAGAGAACTCCCACAGTGGGGTAAGACCACAAAATGAGGACACCTACCAAGTAAATGCTTACTGATTCAAATATAAATGACCAACATTTACCTGCTTTTTAAAAAAGTTTATAGATTTAAATATAAGCTACCAATATTTATCTATTCCCAGACCAAATTATTGCTACTCAAATATAATTTCTAGGATGAGGGGGTTATCATTATTTACATGTGTCCTCATCTTTGTTGTTATTAACCACTAGCTAGGGGAGAAGAGATGGTTTCATGCCTTTTGATCTTGACATGCCAATCCCATGTTCTGTACCAATAATTGCTACACTATGCACACATCATATGCATACATATATTTTTGCATATTTCTTTTTTTTTAAGCATTTCACCCCAAGCAAGATGAGTGCCACTAGTACGCAAGGGGCTACAGAGAGTTTAGGGGAAAAGACTGGAATGTGAGGAAAAGATAAAAAGAAGAACAGAGAAGGACAAAAAGAAGAACATGAATCAAGGCATAAGAAGATGACAACTGACATTACATTTAAATTTTTGAAGATTATAGTTATCAGGGAAGCAAATAAGAGGAAGGGTGTTCCACCATCGGGAAGTGCGAAAGAAGAAGCTCTTGGAGTAGAAGAGGCGGTTACATTTAACTGTTTCGACAGTAAAATGGTGGGATCAAGATGCCAACCTAGTAGCAATTAAATTCATGCAGTTGAGGTACCAATGAAAATAGCTTGTCAGATCAAATGCCATGAAAATATTTATAGAAAAGACAGAGGGAAACCACATTACGTTCGTGAGAAAGTAATTGGTGTCGAGACCCCAAGTCAGGACTGATCACATTGCATATCCATCTTTGTATTTTGTTGAGAACCTCACGATGAACAGCCGGGTGACCAGACCATATATGGCAACAGTATTCCATGCATGGACGAATGGTAGATTTGTAGATGTGAAGGATGGACTCAGACGAGAAAATCTTCTGGTGCGAACAGAACCAACTTTCTTTGCGGTAGATGCAGCTATTGATTCAATGCAATTGTTCCACCTCAGGTCAGTGGAGAACGCGAGACCAAAAAGGTGCAGTTAGGCACTCTCGTAGAGTTGAGCATCATCCACATTGATAGGATGGATTAAAATTCACAAGCCATTTCCTGCCCCAGTCAACCACAGATTGGAGGTCGTTTTCAAGGGCAATGGCCAGGTTAACTTTGTCAGCAATGTCAGATTTACTATTGAGACAGGAGTAAATTTTATATTTCTATAAATACACATATTTTCATGTTTTATATTGGTTGAAATACATACGTCTTCATATATTAGTGTAAATATATATTCATATTTTATGTTAGTATATTTTTTATATTTCATATTAGTGTGATATGAGCATGTGGCCAAGTGGTTAGAACGTTCAATTTCTGATCATAAAACCCAGGTTTGATTTATCAGGAAGGTAACTTCTTGATGTTATCGGTTTGGGAGAAGCAATCCTTTGCATTCATACCACAGTATGGCATGTGAGCAAAATTGAGTAGACAGAACTATTTGGGATGATTGTGCTAGCACAAAGTCACAAGTCATCGTGACCGAGGGTTTGAGCGTATTGGCCTTGTCCAGACTGTTGATCCCGCCAGATAATGCGCTCTTTCACTGAAATTGTAAGTAAGGTCCACTCAGCATAGTTGTAGTATAAACCACAGGTGGGCTCTGTGGGTGTTAAACAAACGCAAATGAGCCTGAGCAGGTGTCTGCAACAAGGATTGGCTAGCCATCCTAATAGACAAACATCCTCGGATATGAGCGACCAGACATTATTATATTAGTGTAAATACAGATATCCTACTGTTTTATATTATATTTTCAATCATGTTTTATATTAGTATATGCTTCCTCTCTGCAATTGGTCAAGAACTGGGTCTTTTTAAGATGCCTCATGCCAATAAAAGCAGGAAGAAAAACAACAGTCAGCAGTTGGGAAGACACGGTGTCGTGTGAAGTATGTCCCGTGGGCATTTTTGTTCCTCAAGTTGATATGGTTTTTGAGGCAGTGTTATTTTTGTTTCCACCTATCTATTTCCTCTCTCTGCCTATTACCCCCACCCCACCCCTCACTAGTTGTTGGGAGAGCAATCGGTCAGGTGTTTCCCCTCTATCTCAACATACCCTTTGCTTACAGTATAAATACAGTGTAACCCGGATATAAGAGAGTTGTCGGGAACGGAGAAGAAGTCTCTTATATCCGGGTTTGGTCTATTTTATATACATTAACACAGACTCTAATTTGGGACCAGAGAAAATCTCTCTTATATCCGGGTTTCTCTTATATCAGGGTCTCTTATATCCGGGTTACACTGTATTACAAAATACATATATTTTACATAATAGTGTAACTATATATATTTCATGTTTTATATGAGTCTATAGTTTTTTTTATATTCTATATTAGTGTAAATACAATCTCAAAAGCTTCTGTGTAAGGATATTTACTAAGCCAACCTTAGTATAGCACAAAGCCTCAAGTATGGGATTATGAGTAAGCATCAATCTCACTAAAGTAATAACGGTCATTGTAGTTTGCTTGCTAACCATTGTTCCATGGAAAGGCTTATTAATTTGTCTTTATAATATATAAGTTCTGCTTAATAATGTACAAACCTAAAAGAGGAGAAAGGCATACCGGAAGATTGTGTAGCACCATTCTTTATATGATATTTAATTAACTTAGCATAGCTTAATAAAACCCAAGATTACAAGTGTGATGCACCCAGTGAGGATCAAACTTACAGTAGTAATAACTATCTATTAGATTAACTTAAGCATTGCTCCAAGATGAGGCACCTCTTTGCTTTTTGGCATTATTACGCTACTATCTTCACTATTATATAATAAATGTGCTTGTCATTTACTCTCTTCATTAATAAATAAAGGACTATTCCGTTTTGATCACGTGAGAAGACAAAAGACATATCAAAGACGCTATTTGGTTTAATTCAGAAAATAAAAGAAAGAATGAAAGATAGAAGTGTTTAACGCCTGTTTCATTGTAATGGAAAAAGTTTCAAATTTTCTCATTTGTATCTCCTTACCTCTTAAAATTATATTTGTGATTGTTATTGCAATATTTTCTTAAAGTTGTTAAGCTCAAATATTTTAACGATGTGACGGGGGTTGGGTGGGGGTCTACGGATATTTTATTATCATTAAAACTCGCCATAAGCTTATTCATTCATTTACTTAATAATTAAGATTCATCAGATACTTAAAAGAGGGAAACCGCAAAATTTTCCCGAGTTAAAATTAATCCCGAGTTATCATTAATATGTTAATATTTTTTTAGAATGTTGTAGAAAAACTAATTAAATGTAAAGGCAACCTTCTCACCTCAGCCCCATTCAGTGGGTGGAGTTCATCGGCATGGAAATTGATTTCTAATCCACATTTTTGGCCTGCTTCTAGAATTTCCTGTGATTGGGAGACATTAAATACACCTTGCTCACAAAATACATCTATATTGTCAACATGCAACTTTCCTTGTTGCATCAAATTCTTTATTTGCACGAGCTGATTATTGATGACATCATTTTTTGCTTCTTCACTTGTCTTTCCTCTTTAAAACAAAATAATATATATTAACAAAAATTATGTTAAAAGAAAACAAAAATGGTCAACCAGACTATTTCTGTAAGATAGTGTTTTTAAGACAAGCAGATTTTGTAATTGTAGTCCTCAATAACAACAGAGAGCATTAAAAAGAAGAAATAAAATTAAATTGTTCATTTATCTTGTCACTACGTACAGAAATGACACCATTCATCCGTAGAACTGCCTTTAATTTGAATGTATTTTCAGAAATAAAGATATTGTGATGATAAATTTGAGGAAGGCAATGGAGTAATGGATAACAGCCTGGATTGAAGAATCGGAGAGCCGAGTTCGAATCCGTTGCATTCACTTACGTGCTAATATCCTTGGAAAAGGTATGAATCCACTTCCCCACCCCTCCATGGGTAAATAATAGGACAGATCAGGTTGCCTTGGATGGCAACTGGTCTACCGCAGAAAGAAATGGCAACCTACTGCGGGAAAAAAATCTGCCTCGTCTGTCATGTATCGAAAGATATGTGATTGCCTAAGCGTGTATCATGCATGGCACATAACTGACAGACTGATAATAAATTTAATTTTGCAATCAAACCCCTAATTAGTGAATGTAATCTCTGTCAAACTTTGAATAGGGACAAGATAAGTGAACATTTAATTTTATTTCTTATCACACACATACATACATATGTATATGGTCTGACGTTTACATTTAAGCATGAAACTCTCGTCTCTGGGTGTTAACTTCAATCTTCACTTTTATATTTAAATACGCTCTATTTCTGATATTAAGCACTTAAAACCATGAATATAGCATATCTTAAAACTATAGTTTATTATATATATTATATATTTTTCTTAATACTCTGGTTTATCATATATATATATATATATATATATATATATATATATATATATATATATATATATATATGATAAACCAGAGTATTGCCAAAACCAACACACAGCCTGCTAAGCGACGAAATAAAATAAAAAAGAAGAAAAAACAATAACAAATAAATATATAAATAAAATAAAATAAATAAATAAAATAAATAGATAAATAAAATAAAATAAAGAAATAAAATAAATAGATAAATAAAATAAATAGATAAATAAATAAAAACAAGACAAAAGCTGTCAAATCAAAAAAGAAACAAAACATAAACTGAGGAAAAAAAAAAAAACGAAAAACAGACAACTACCCGAACAAAAGTAGATAGTGCTCAATGTCTAAATGACCAAATTTAGACCAAATATATGTGTGTGTATGTGTGTCTGTATGCGTGTATGTGTAGGTAAATCATTAAGTCCATAGCCTGATGATTAAAAGTGTTTGTTTTTATAATAATTCTAAACATAATCTCCTTTTTTTATCAACACATTTGCAAAAAAAAAACGCATATGTACAAAAAGGTCATATCAGTAGGAAGTTCTGTTGTTCAGATTTTTTTATATTTGGGATGTCTAAATTCCAAACAATAATAAAATAAAAACAAAGAAAATATGGATAGCCTGTTAAATAAATCATTTGCATTTACAAACATATGTATATGAATTCGAAAGGGTCAAAAAGGAGTAAAAATAGTCTTTAGTTGAGTTAAAGTCTTTCGTAGTTGGCCCACAAAAAAAGCTATGGTTTAAAAAGACTTTTAGTAGTTGGTCCACAAAGTTGTCTTTGAGAAAAGACTTTTAAGTAGGTGGTCCACAGTAAAAATCGGTGTTTGATAAAAGAATTTTAAATAGGTGGTCCACAGTGAAAAGATCACATCTTTTCTTGTGTTTGAACAGCTTGGAGTCAGTTGCATGTCTGCTCCTGAAAATCGGATTTTGTGGGTTTTTATAAGAAATTTTTCCTGAAATTAAACTCGGGAAAAAAATATGATTTTAGCTTTCTCTGATTGGTCAATTTCATTTTCAATTTCATTTTCAATGGTAATGTTAATTTCTAACCAATAGACACTTTTATTTAAAACGATGTGTGTTATATTGTGGAATCTTTTAGGCATGTTTGTAATATTGTCTGTTAATGCGTAGAGAATAAAGTTTAGACGTGTTTTAATAAGGTATATATGTGGGTATATAATTGTGTTGAAAATAGGGTTTATATCCATACACACATGTTGATTCAACCATTTTATATTTTTTTCTGTTTAGTTTGCTGAGGCAATTGTTTATATATTCACTTCTTATTGTTGTTTAAACAAATATTAAAACACATCCTATAACCGCAATAAACGAAGGACGAATTGGGAGAATGATAAAATACAGATAAAGTGCTGAAGAGCAGAAGCCTGAGATAATAAAATAAATAATCTTAGTTGCCAACATCCGTGCAATTTCCATGTCTTCAGCTTGTAGGAAATTAATCTCAATAAAAATAATTCACATTGCAATATATCCACAAAATTATCTTAGAATTTGTTTCATACAGAAGTAATAAAGATTGGTTTTTAAAACACTGTATTTTCAAGTCGATAACGAATACAGATTCTGAAACTCGCGCAGAAATTATTGGTACTTAAAAAAAAAAACAAAACAAACAAAAAACAAAAAAACTTCGCCACACTCGCATGCTGAAAACGGAGCATGCAGGAAACACATTTTAGTAACTAAACATTTCAGTAACTCAACCTTTAACCATTAAAAATAGGATAAAATGCTCGCATCGTTTCTATTTGAAACGAGTCGCTCTAATTCATTTCAACAATTGCAACGCGACACCACGTAAAAATTTAATTCAGACACAACACTTCAACATTGAAAACACAATTTACCTGACCTCGTTGGATTTTTTTTTTTTTTTTTTTACACCAAGCGAAAAATACATCCACTAACAAGTTTGAAACAACAACAAATGCATTATTAGTTTCACATAAAAACACGGCTCATTTTCTTCAAAAATAAGAATTCACAATTAAGTTTATTGAGCTCCATTCTGGAAATCAACAAAATGAGTCCTTGGACAGACTGAAGCCTGTAACACAGTTAAGACTACCTCTATCTGATGCAAAACCAAAGTAAACACCAACCACTATTTCACATAAATAACATGCATTTGTAAAGCTCAGCTTTCGGATGGAAATGTAATGTGGGAAAATGATATAAAATCGATAAATAAAATAATAATGAATAATAAAAAAAGAAAGGCATTTTCTCATGATGCTAAGAGTAAAGGAACCAGAAATATGATTATCCCGCTTGGTTTCCTCAAACATTGTTAGGCGGCGCTGGATACATTTTCCTGTCTAGGTCTCTTTTTCCTTTTTGCTACAAGATGTAGAACCACGTGGTAATTACGTTCTAAATGGGAAACATTAGTTTCCCCAGTCCTCTATCTTCTGAACCAAGAAAAAGAAAACGGACATACCATAAATATGTTTGAAACATCCAAAGATAAAGTAAATACAATTTTTCTTTGGTTGTTCCAACTCTGCACAAGGCTGATTTAAGCTCGACCATTGATACAATTATTATCCTTACTTACACTAACTTACTTCTGAACTAATAAAAGAAAACGGACATACCCAAGAATCATCGAGAACTTTGTTTCACTACAGTCACCATAAAAAAAAGAATAAACAGTCAGATCAAGATGTTGACTTTTCACACTACATGAAATAAAAAATTAGTAAGGAAGCCTTGAAAGAGCAATAAAAGTGGACTAGGGAAACCTATTTTTCTGAATAAATGTTTTTAGAGAAATATTTTATAAATTTCAAGCGACAGTAACGCGATCTGTTTCATCAATGAATATCAAATGTTACTTTAAGGGAACGGCTTATATCACCTTTATCATTTGCACACTTTTCTAGTATCTTTATACGCCCAATACATACTATAATTTTCTTTATCGAAAATATATTATTTTGACGTCTGTTAAGAACTAAAGAAAAAAAAACTTGTTCACACACATTTAGACATATTTGCTTCCATATTTTTTAATGCAATGATAATCTATCATATATTATGGATAAGCATTTAGTTTATGATTGTTTCTTTAGTTTTAAATATTTAAAATAAAATTATACAATGCGCCGACTGTACAGAGGATCTGTGACACCATATAAGACATGTAGAATTCATTAATTTTACGTTTGATTACATTTGCTACAACTACAAACTGCAAGAATACCATTTTTCATTTTACGAGACATAGGCACTATGGTAACAACCAAAAACTAGCTTATATAATGTGACCAAGTCAGTACTTACTTGGGTACAGCATGTGCCCCACAGAACGTACAAGAAATATCGATTGGAATCTCTTTTCTTGCTCTTTCTATAACACTTAGCATTTTGATTTCAGTCTCAGCGTCAAGGCCATAACCAGATTTACATTCTACCAATGTGGTACCGGAATGTATCATGCTCCAAAGCCGTTTCTTTAAGCTCTCAAACAATTCTTCCTCAGAGGCTTTTCTGGTATGTTCGACCGTAAAATGAATTCCACCACCTGCTTTATGTACCTCCATATAAGTTGCTCCCGCAAGCTGCAAAGTAAAAAATAAATCGGAGATCATTTCACCTGGTAGAGATTTAAAAGACTTCTAAAATTAAGAATGTATCAATTCAACTCATTTCCTCCTAGCATCAATTTAAACTGACGGCACCTTTTTTTTCTCTCCATATACTATGACCATTTGGCTTAAAGTTCGTATTTTCTTGACTTCTATATAGCTCTTCGCTATTCTGTTCACATGATCAAGAGCAGACGTTATATATCTTCATGACCTTGACCGTTATTCATTGCGTTGCCACCCTTCAATTTAATGTAGCAAGTTCATTTAGATTCATAATAAACCTAATGATTTTTAGTTGTTTCAGTATTATGAATTTAATCTGAATACTCTTTGTGAACATTTTTTATACTTTTTATACTTTGTGGCAATTCTGAATTTATTTTCTTGAGATTTTTAGTACTTTGCAGGCAGAGTTAATGTTTATACTTCCTTATCATGTAACCACAAACTCTTATCTTCCGGCATTCCTAGCCTTTATTATTTCCGACTATCTCGGATCCTTACTTTCGCCAATCCTGTCCTAAACTACTTGAACATTGACGCAACTTTGGCTAATATTTTCCCGCCGCCTCATCATGGATTTCATCAACAGAGGCTCAACCATCAACCACGCAACGCCAGCATCCCCTACTTCCGGCATCTCTATCTCAACCTAACTCATCTGGATGATCGGAGTTAATGGACCTGCTTACAACAGCCATGAACTTCCGGCTACACTAGATTTCTGCTTCCGGATTTCCTGTCAGCCCAACTCATCTGGTTTAGGAAATTGTTGCATGCATGTCGTCCAACTCCAAATAACCTATTCCGACCACTTCGGTTAAAATACTACGGAAGGTTCAAGATTGGACTTAACCAGCAACTACGCAACGCCAGCACTGGACATTTAAATGGAACTTTCTTCTCTTTGGCTATATCGTCCGGACTTCAAATAACCTACTCCGTACAGTTCAGTTAAAATACTACGGAAGCCACAACTAATGCATAAAATTTAGAAAATAACCAGCCAATAGTAGCCATGCACTACTTCCTCTCAAAACCTTATTCTCGTCAAAATATATTAATCAACGAGTCAGTAGCCGCCGATATATATATTTTTTGTTGAAAAAAAGACAAAAAAAAATATATATATAACACAAACAAACATAGTTTTTAGTTTTCGATAACTGCAATATTTGTCGCGTTGGATCTCCTTACCTTCATGGCAAATTCATGAACTCTGTCTCCTGCCCAAACGGGATGTGTATGAGCATCTACGAATCCTGCAAGGGTAGAAGTAATTGAAGGAATTTTAGAAGGCTGTTGAAGTTCATTATTTGGTTTCTGCAAGTCATAGAACTATTTTCAAAATGAAAAAGGATTATGCAAGTGTTGCTAATGTCATAAGTGAATGTGTAGGTAGTGTAACTGTTATCGGCGTTGGAAATGGAATTTGTAACTTTCGTCCTAGCCTGTTGTATTTCTTATAAATTTCTTTGGGAAAATGATAGATTATCTCCTTCTTTATGGGTCAAATACCAAACTGAGAGAAGGATAATTCGGAATTCATATCCGTGAAGAAGGCAACTTGAAACTACTGTCTTTCCCTCGAGATCATGACAATTCTTAAATAATCAAAAACTGGAATCTGTGGTGAGCCATGACAGCCTACATCCTGCAAGATCAAGGCATTAAAAAATCTTCTAGAAGAATATTCCACTACCTGGCTCTGAGACTAGACACTTAAGATGTGTTTCCTTAGATTTTACTGTAAAACACTCAAACGTACCCCTCACACACACAGAGGAAGAAAATGGATTGAAATTCATCATTCTTTTGGCTAATCAAAATTTTGTACAGAAAACCCTTATTTTTCAAGCATTCTGTTTTCGCTGGCTCTGGAATCCTAACAGTTTATATAAAAACGGAATTATAACGCAACAGTCAGTTGGTTTTTACGAACAGGTCAAATACATTTGAATTCGACGAACTTTCAAGACGACTGAATATTTCATTTCCAAGCGGTTACATCCGGGTTCACCAATATTTACTTAGTAAGCGTCTCTTTGATCTAGGTTAATTGTCAAGAAGATGCTTCCTCATTCCAAGTGATGAGGAAGCATCTTCTTGACAATTAACCTTGTTCCATTATAAAGCTTTCTATAAGGGAAAAGAAAGATATTTGTGGCATGACACGTAATTTCAAGCAATGCCCGAAGTTGGTGTTCAAGCCCAATTAGAATGACAATATTTCAAATACGAGTTGTTTTTTTTTTTTGTTGTTGTTTTTTTGTTTTTTTTTGTGTGTGTGTGTGTGTGGGGGGGTAAATAATCCCACTTTACTCAAAAGCTTGTCATAATCTTTCTATCACCAGCCACTTGTGCCGAGTTGGTATTCATTTCAAATAATTTTGTCAAATCTTACCCGGTAGCAGACACATTCCTTCGGCATTTATAACGCGGTTGAAATCGTCTTCAGAATATTTAGACCGGATACTTTCGTCCTCATCAATTTCAACAATGTTTCCATCACTGGAATAAAATAGCTCCTGTACTTAAACCATATTAAATGAACAATTTCAAAACAATAAAGAAAAATTTAAATAAATTAAAATATTTTTGTGAATATTTACATTGCGCCTTAGATAACAAACATGTACCGATGTCATTATATTCTTTTTGTAAGCTTTAGAATAGCACCGTCAATTCTGATGTTAAAGTTAATATGAGCAAACTATATTTATCTGTTGTTACGTCTAGCATCTAAGTTACTATTTTATGGAAGTGGTAATAGAATCGGGTTTACTATTCTATAGAAATTAAATCGTGATCACTAAAATGTGGAGTTCGAGTTGACATCAAGAGTATGCCCGTAAATACTTGATATTGATTAGTTACTTAGTATTGTGATTTGAGGGATTCCTTTGCGAGTGGAGTAGCAGGCTAAGTGGGGAAGTTTAATGTACTTAATTATTATGAAATTTATTATCATTGTACTTGTTGAAACTTGACTAATGCATGGAATAATAATACAACACAAAATGTACTTAGAACAAAATGTATTGAAACAAGAAAGTGTACACAATATTTACATATAGTCTTTTGTATATTCTTGGGAAGACCGTTCCTGGAGAATGTGTTGACTTAGTCGCAGTCGGGCAGAGTCTCTGGATTGAATCTCTTGATTCCTTCCCTCGTCTTCCCGGTACCAACCATATTTATATGGTCGGTACTGCACTATGCAAATTAGGTGGATCCTACCACAACAGTACTTTAAGTCAGTTCCGCACATTGTAATAATAAATACATGATCCTACGACGAAATAAAAGACTGAAACTAAGGAGCAAGGGGTAATACTAGTGGGTAACGAAAAATCTGATAATTCCAATTGTCCTTTAGTTAACACGTACGTTACGCCCTACCAATACCTTATAATTAATAGACTATTCCGTTTTGATCGCGTAGAAAGACGAAAAAGACATATCAGAGACGCTTGGTTTCAGTGAGAAAATGAAAGAAAGAAAGTTACGCCGTGCCAATACCTCATAAAGAATGGAATATTCCGTTTGAATCCATGATTTACAATCTTTTCATTTGTACCCATTACTTCTTTAAATAGCGACCAGCATTCATATTTGTAATTCCTACCCCCAAAACAAGGTCATGCTGTCACACAAGGTTGGTTTAATGTGGGGAGCCCGAGCGCGTACACCCTGGCTAGGAACAAAAATTGCCCGGGCCCCCGCGACCGTCGGTTGAACTGTTCTCGGTGCGAGCACCGATCCCTCTCTCTGGTGCAATGAGAGAGTGCAGCCCCGGGCAGCTGTTCCCCGTGGCTGAGCACATCTCAGTATAATTTTCCTTAACCAGCATTCATATTTATGATTGTTATCGCAATATTTTGTTAAAGTTGTTAGGATCAAATATTTAATGATGCGATGGGGGAACTTCTGTGGATATTTTGTTGTCGTAGAACTCGCCATGAGCTTATTCGATCATTAACTTAAGAATTAAGAGTTGATGAATTGGAAAACCGTGAAATTTTCATGGGTATTTCTACTTTATTATTAATTTTATTAAAATATAACGAGTTGACGAAGAGTACAATGGTGATGAAGTTCATAATAATTTAGACGAATTTACACTATCGTTTGTTTTATTCGTTGAAAATAACCGCCTGCCAAGGATTTTCGCAGCAGTAATTGTACAGTATATTTTACTTGCATTTGATGATTAGATCATCTATTTAAAAAAAAGGATGATAATGAGAAATTGGATAGAGAAAGAGCATTTTGGCAAAAATAATACATTATTAATGATTTTTTAATGCCATATCTCTTCAGGGAGTAGGTGAATATGGTTCTTCACAGATTTCATTATTATTTATTAATTGCCATGACTTCTTGGAACAGATAATAGAGTCATTCTCGTTGCCTTCTCCCCGATTATGAATTCAGAGTTTTTCTTTTTTTTAGACTAGTTGGCACCCAAGGCTAGAGAGACCAGTTTACTCTTCTATTTAATCCATAATTGAGAATTTGAAGAAAAAATGGATTAATGCTTTTCTAAAGGGTCTTTGTTCAGAAGTGAACACAACAGATTTGCCTGGAATTTGAACTTGACTCGCCGAAAGTAAATTATTGTTGATGTTACATGGGAATAAAGCAAGCCAGTATCTTGACCAGGCCTGGTGGAAGTGTCTCATGCCCTACTTAATATATGATACGGGCCATCCCTCAATATATGTTCTACTACATCTCAATTTTCATAAAGGTAGTATTCATATAAAATACAAATTTTATTGTAACCTAATGATGTACAATAGTGGCTCATATGCAATACAGGTGAACAATTCAATTAGAAAAATTGAAAATAAATACTATATAGATAAATATAAATTAGCGACATAATGTTAAATAAATCAACAATGTTTTGCGGCAATTTTTAACACCAACTTGAGAATTTTCTTGTTAAAAGTTGAATGATTTTAACACATTCAAAATTATAGACAAAAAATGATGTTTTTGCGAGGTTTTGCGTGAGCAAAAAAAAATTCACCGAGTGGATAAAAAAAGATCCCAAAATGGCGTCAAAATCCGCAAAAAAAAAAAAATCATCATTTAATAGTCAATTTTTCTTACTTTAATTTGTAACGTATATAAATGTAAGTAGAAAAAAGCAAATGTTGATAAGATAGCGAAGGTTACAAAACACTGCTCGGGGCCTCTAGTCATGTTTGACCCCCACCTCATTCTCGATCTGGGATTCGGGGTTTGGGTGTAGTACGCACCGGCCCTGATCTTGACAGTACACATGCAAAAAATAAATTTACAAATTGTGTTCATAGTTAAGTAACCGACACTTCTATAATCACAAAATTTGTAGTTGTTTACAAACGCTACTATGAATTGCTTTCTTCATTTTGAACGACATATTACCGTCCAAAAAAAAAACAAAATAACTTTTACCTTCATCTGATCTGATAATATATGTTATCAGGGGTCTCCGTCGTGGGATTAATTTAGACAAAACGCAGCATAACTCAAGGTGCAGCTGTTCCAAGGAAGTTTTACGCGATTATTAACCAAATACAAGGCTCAAGATCCACTCAAGGTAGAGGGTTACTTAATTGGGTTGTTTTTATGGACGTAAGAATTGTAGATTAGGAGAATATGTAGGATAGATAACTCTGGACTTGAAAATGTTTTCAACTGTATTGGCTGAGGAAGCATCTTCTTGGAAATTTGTACCACGAGGCAGTGGCTCTTTGGAAGAAGCTATCCGAATGGAACTTCACTTTTTATCAATGGAATTCGAATGGAATAAGGTTGGTTCTCCCCCTATGTACATTGCATTTCCACCCTGCCGTAGCACGTTTTCTAGTGGACAAAAGTTTGAGGGTAAGAGTATTCTGATACCTGCATGATAATGACTGGGCAACATTTCTCCTTGTTCAAACGTCACATCCTACTTTCATAGGGAGATATAAGTAAATATTGTCTCTTTCAGAAAAGGAGGAGGAAGAGGAAACAATATACAAAGTTCTACCCAAAGGCTGATGCTGACTTGGGGTGCTGGCATAAACTTGGAAAATCAGTTCAAACTTTATAACATAGGAATTTGATATATTCGTCTAAACTAATTTATGTCGGATTTTTAAAATGAGGAATCTTTATTATTCTGTTCTTGAGGAATTGTGTCAACAAGACTCCTCACAACTCAAAAAATTTTCAGGGAATCTTCTCAGAGTAAATTTTGGTGGTTTTCTGGAGGTCTACATTCTTGTTCTCAATTCCAATTTTCCCTAAGCGCTCTTTCAATTCTTTAGGTGCTGTTCCTAGCGCATTCACCACAACAGGAATTACTTCAACTATAATGTTCCATAGCGTCTTCAACCCTCTAGCCAAATCCTGGTATTTATTTTTCAATATTTCAGAGTCCATTCTTATATCATATAGAACAATAACATCAATAATTTGACACTTGCTACTTTCCTTATCTGCCATAATGTGGTCGGGTCATTGTACTTCAATGACATGATCTCTCCGAAGCGAGAAAGCCCATAATATCTTGTAACTGTCATTTTCTACCACTGCTTTTGACTGATATTATTTCTTTTCCATATTGAAGCCAAATTTGTGAGATACTTCCCAGTAGATTCTCTTACCATCCAATCATGTCGTCGCTTATACTCTTAGCTGAAAGATAATAGAATATAGACGAATAAAGCGGTAAAGTTCAATATAGTTAGTGCAGCGTAACAGCTATCGGCGTGGAAAGTGAAATCAACGAGCCGGGTTCAAATTCTTGTCTTGTCTATTATATTCCTTTTCGCGTTAATTCATCTGGGAAAAACATGAATCCATCTCATCTCCCTCCACAGGGTAAGCTAGTTTCTCTCACCTTCGGTTGTAATCAGTCTAAAAGAAGGAAAACTCTGAATCTGTAGCGAACCGGAGGTTTACGTGTTGTTAAATTAGGAGTACATGTGTTGTGTAACTCCTGAGAGAATATTAAAAGGCCCACTACAAGAATGTGGCGGACTAAAGTTGAGTCCAACCGAAGATGTAAAGAAAACAAACAAGTCCGAATTGTATATACAAGTATATGTATTAAAAAACAAAATTTACAATGGACAAAGACATCATTTGTGTTTGTGCGTGAACGTAAAGAGTTTGTATTTTGTTGAATGTTCGTACGTACGTGTATGCGTGTGTTTCATGGCGCTTTCCCACAAGGGGGCAAAACGCAGTTGAATGCGAGAGTTCACATTTTTTAAATGTGTCCGCTGAAATGCAAAGTAAAAAGAGAACGAGACAAGAAATCTCCCAGTATTTATAGTGTAAGGAGAGCGTGCCCTAGTGAACAATTCGAAAATTAAGGAGGAGTTAACTCCGACAAATCCACAAATAATGGGAAACCACGTCGCTATCATTCCCA